AATAATTAACGCTAATACTAACTAATAATAATTCACAATAAATATAAATTGCATAATTATAAACAATTATTTCAAGTTATTTATTTTAACATCAATATTATCTTTTTCTTTTATATCTCATGAAAATATTTCTTTAAAAACAATTAGTAAATTGATTTAATAGCATAATCAAATAACTTTAGAATCTTATAAACAATTGTTTTTGTAATAATAATAATAATAATAATAATAATAATAATCAAACTGCTATTATCTAATGATAATTGTTCATAATAATAAACAATCATTAATTTATTTTTCCTAATGGTTAAATTTTAAAAATGTAATATGTTCATTATCTAAAATCTTAATATTAAATTCTAAAATATTACTTATTATATTTTATGTACATCTGTGCATGTGCACATGATATTTACTAGTATATATTGTTTTTGTAATTTACAAATTAATACTATTTTTTATATTTTTCAATTTAATATATATTCAATGTGTAAGTGAAATATAATATCGTTTTATTTGCTCAATTTTTTCACAAAGTGATCGAATTCCATCTTTTCTTTTATTACATTTTTCCGATTTTTATTTTTGTTTATTTAATTTCATTCGCAATACTTATTTACAAGTATGCTAATGATTTTAATATAAGTATCATACATATGTTAGGTAATTGTTAAACTTAAATGATTTTAAAATCACATGCACAGATTGACATTTCACATCATAAATATATTTATATATATGTATATATTAAATTTTTATATAATATTTTTTTATTTTGAATAAATATTCCCTTAAATTAATATAAATGCACTAAAATACATTTTAGTGAAAAATAAAAGCAATGTTGAAGACTTAAAAAAGTGCTTTCTGAATTCTATCTCGCCCCTTTTTCTTTCGCCCTGTTTTCTCTCTCGCTTGCTGTCTGCAAATCGCCGTTTTGTGCCTCTTTCAGCGGTCGTTCGGGTTCATCGGAGGATGGCTCTCCTACGGCGCATCCTTAATTCGGTCAACGGTGCCTCCCATTTTTCGATTCCAGCCAAAGGGGTGGGCTAGGGTTTCGACATATTTTCTTTTCTGTGCAAGGCCACCGGCGTCCTGCGGTCAGGGGTTCACGGGGTGCGTCGTCAACCTTTGGATGCGGCTTGGTTGTTCGATTCAACTCAGGTAAGGTCAATTTCGCCTTGAAGTCCGCTTCGTTTCGATTTTCCTGTATCGCCGGAGCTCTCGTTCTGGTATTGTGGCGGGGTTCGATTTTGTGCGCTAGATTGGGAGATTATCGATTGTTGGGTTATGTTGCAGCGGCTGGGCCGGGAGGCCATTCGAGCCCTTCCTCTTTTTTACTCTTTCTGATCAAGAGAGAGGCCGACCGTGTCAAATATTGGCTAGTGGTGATAGGCAATTTCGGGATGGTGACGGATTTGGCTAGTGGTGTTAGCCGATGGGGGGTCGATTGTGGTTTCTTGCGGTAAGAGAGTGGGTCGGTTTCTCTTGGTTTGTTTTTGTGGCTTGGGTATTCGTCTTGCTAGGCTTTAGGCAGTGGCGGGCGGAGTTCTTGTGCGGCGGATCTTTCCATGGAATCAGCCTTGTCTGCTGTTCAATCTCGGACGTCTCTGCTGAAGGAGGGTTGTGTATTTTTGTTTGTTAGTAAGTGTTTCGTTTAAGTCGTTTCTTAGTATGTCTTGTCTGTTTAGGATCAGTATTTTTGGTTTGGGCCAATTGGACCCTGTGAACCCCTGTGAGCCCGAGTATCATCTTATTATCCTGTTTAGATTAGATGCTCGGGTATTATCCTTGTGGGATCTTTTTAGTAGTTCCTGTTTGTTTGTGTAGTTGGTAGTGGTGTAGTTGCGAGTGTTTTTTTCTAGCTTTGCTAGCGTCGAGATTCTAGGCGGTCTTCTGATCTGTCCTCCCACTTTTTCAGCCGTTGGCGGCTGTGTATTCGCACATTTGTGTATTTTGATTTATAATTTTATCTGTCGTTTTGGGAAAAAAAACTTAAAAAAGTGATTAATTTTTTAAGACTTTATTATTTTAATCTTTTAGCACATTTTCTATATTCAGATTATTTTTGACATACGTATAAGAGCTAAATGGTTTGGTATTTAAATATAATGGGATGTAGCTCAACGGTATTATCCTCTTACATTGAGTATGGCATTCGGGGATCAAAACCCCACATCTCCAAATATGTATTTTTTTGTAATTTACAAATTAATACTTCATTTTGTAATTTTGAATTTAATATTCAATGTGTAAGTGAAATCTAATATCGTTATATTTGCTCAAGTTTTTCACAAAGTGATCGGATTCCATCTTTTCTATTTATTACTTTTTCCATATTCTTCACTTTGTTTATTTAATTTTATCTGCAATACTATTTACAAGTATGCTAAATGATTTTAATATAAATATCGTCAATATGTTAGGTAATTGTTAAATTTAAATGATTTTAAAATCAAATGCGCAAATTGACATTTGACATCGTAAATATATTTATATATATATATATATATTTATATGTATATATCAATTTTTATATAATATTTTACTTTATTTTGAATAATTATTACTTCAAACTAATATAAATGAACTAAAATACATTTTAGTGCAAAATAAAAACAATATTGAATACTTAAAAAAGTGAATGATTTTTTAAGACTTTAATTTTTATTCTTTTAGCACCTTTTCTATGTTCAATTTATTTTTAACACACATATATGAAAATAATTGTTTAGTCTTTAAACATGAGGAGATGTAGCTCAACGGTATTATCCTCTAGCATCGAGTATGGCTTTGGGGATCGAAACGCCGCATCTCCAAATATATTTTTTTTTTCTAATTTACAAATTATTACTATTTTTTGTAATTTTGAATTTAATATATATTCAATGTGTAAATGAAATATAATATCGTTATATTTGCTCAAGTTTTTCACAAAGTGATCGAATTCCATCTTTTCTATTTATTACTTTTTCCATATTTTTCTTTTTGTTTATTTAATTTATTCGCAATACTTATTTTCAAGTATGCTAAATGATTTTAATATAAGTATCATATATATTTTAGGTAATTGTTAAACTTAAATGATTTTAAAATCATATGCGCAGACTGACATTTCATATCGTAAATATATTTATATATATATACATATATATATATATATATCAACTTTTTATATAACATTTTTTTTTTTATTTTGAATAAATATTCCTTCAAATTAATATAAATGCACTAAAATACATTTTAGTGCAAAATAAAAACAATGTTGAAGACTTAAAAAAGTGATTGATTTTTTAAGCAGTGTTTTGTGACCCGGACCGGCCCGACAGATCGACCCGGAACCCGGTCGACCCGGAGCCGGAACCGGTCTGGGTGGGGTATCTGGACCGGGCAACAAAGGACCCGGTCAAAACCCGGCCGACCCGAAGCATTGACCCGATTGGGTCAACTCGGTTGACCCGGTCCATATATATTTTCTTTATTTTTTTATTTTTGTTTTGTTTTTTTAAAAATAATACTATGCATATATGTTTATATGATAAATATTTATCATGACATACATATTATTAACACTTTAATGTACAAATTTTAGACACAACATTTAATTTTGTTACTTTTATGCATATTTATATGACAAAAATACTCTATATATAATTTTAAAAATTTTAAAATTAATTATCCGGTTCAGCAATTGACCTGGTGAACCGACGGTTGAACCGGTGACCCGAGGACCTGCCCGGGTCGATTACCGGGCCGGGTTTAAAAACTATGTTTTTAAGACTTTATTGTTTTTATCTTTTAGCACATTTTCTATATTCAATTTATTTTAAACATACATATAAGAACAAAATCGTTTGGTATTTAAACATAAGGAGATGTAGCTCCACGGTATTATCATCTGGTATTGAGTTTGACATTCGGGGTTCGAAAACAACATCTACACACACAAATATATCTATATCTATATATATATATATATATATATA